AATCACAATCACCGCTTTTGTGGGACTGCTTCTGCGGTCAAACTCTCGCGCATGCGAGCTTCACTTAAGTCCCTGCCCTTACGTACCTTCAACCACATTAACGCACCTGCGGGACCGCTTCTGCGATACTTTTTCCGCACCTGTAGATTCTTATAAATAAGCTCATTCTCGCTTCTGCGTTCAACTGACAGCATCTGCGATCTCACAGATGGGGAACCTTCCTCGCATCTGCGCCCTTCCTGCCTCTAGTCAAACGCCGCTCATGTGGACTTTCTTGCGCAGAAGCGCATCCACTTCTGCAAAAATCCCCTAAATCTGCGACCACTCTTCAACCAAGACGACCTCGCATAAGCGACGAGTGGCCCCACCTACAGCTCTGCACCTGCGGCCAACATCTCTCAAGTGCGGTTACACCAGACCTGAAATCATCAACATTTCCTTAAATCCAAATATCAATCTAATTTCAATCTGAATCACACCTAAGGCCCCATGTGACCCATCCAAACACACCAACACGTTCTAAAACATGATGCGAACTTAGTCGAAGTCTCAAAGCACATCAAACAGCATCAAAATCACGGATCGCACCCCAATTCAAGCCTAATGAAATTAATGAACTTTCAACTTCTAAAATCGATGCCGAACCATATCAAATCAACTCGGAATGATCTCAAATTTTGTACACTAGTCTCAAGTGACAAAACAGACTTATTCCAACTCTCGAAACCAAAGTCCAAACCTGGTATCAACAAAGTCAATTCTCGATCAAACTTCATAAACTTCCAAACCTTCAACTTTCTATGTTTCACCAAAAAGCCTCAAACTAACCTACGGACCTCCAAATCAATCTTCGGACATACGCCTAAGTCCAAAATCACCATACGAAGCTATTGGAACCATCAAAACTTCACTCTGGAGTCGTCTACACAAAATTCAAACTACGGTCAACTCTTTCAACTTAAGATTCCAACCTTGGGACTAAGTGTCCCAATTTACTCTGAAACCTCCTCGAAACCCAACCACCCCGACAAGTCACATAACCACAAATAAATATAGAAGAATCGATAAATAGGGGAACAGGGCTACAATGCATAAAATGATCGGCCGGGTCGTTACTGTATATGTTATTGAGCTACGCAAATTATGTAAAGTGAGTATTTTTTGACCTAAAAACCTCATCACTAGTTCACCGAGGTTAGTCAAATACTTACTGAGTACATGGGGTTAGTTATACGCATACTACACATCTGGACCTTGCATGTAGATCTTGGAGCTGAGTTGCTCTGGATGTCGAAGGCTGGCATTGATGTCGTAGCTGCATTCCAAATTCAAGCTACTAGTTGTTCATGGTAGTTTAGGACTTCATTTCTGTTGATCTAAATTTCAAACAAATTTGTATATGGGAGAGGATGAAAGACCTCAAAGCCTTCAAGGACCGGATCAAAGACTATCTCTCAAGGAAGGTACCGAGGACTTTACTAAATCAGGTAGGGGAGAATGTCATGGGCTGCTTTCCTACCTTGCCCTATGACCCCTTGGCTGCGCCCTGGAAAGCCTCTCAGCACCGAGTGTCATAGACGGCTCTATGGTCTTGGCTGCGCCAAGTAACAAGTGCTCATGTGCCAGTGTTGCCCCACCGATAGCCCATACCCGCGCCCAGCAGCAAGTGATACTCAAAAGCGCCCGTCAGTAGGCAGCCCTCTCAGTGCCCGCCCGCAGCTAGCGCCTACAAGAAGATGCCCCATTACCAGCACAAGCACTCTTATGTCCCGCGCGCAGCATGCACTGATTGATACTATTGACAAAGATGTCTCCCCTAGAAGTGTTGACCACTGGACCAGCTTTTCCTTTGTATAAGCCTAGGTCTTTTTTCATGTAAATATAGAATAGTTTTACTTCTTGTATTTGTATTATGATTCTCTAGCTTATTTATGTCTACTCCTATAACTTAGGTTTTTATTTTTAAGACATATATAAGGGGAGTATAGTCGTTGAAGTTTTGTGCAAGCAATCAAATCTCTGCAGTGGTGTCTTCTCCCCTCTGGAACCACGTTAGCTTTCTTGTAATCATTGTTATACATAAAAGATTTCATTCAATTATCTTTTCAATTCTCTAGTTGTAAATTGTGATCTTCACATTCTCTTTCCCATATGACACTGATAGTGTAGTCTAGCATGCGGAGGGGGCCATTGGTTGGGAGAAAGTAATCACATGAAAGTCGATTATTTTTCCTTACGTCGCCCTTCCAAGACATCTTGAAAGGCATTGCGTAACAATATTGGTTGATCTGCAGATGCAGGGTGGTCAGCTTCATCTTCGTTCACAGATGCGAGCAAAGGCTAGCAAATGCGAGGTCGCAGGTGCGGCGTTTTGTCCGCAGAAGCGGAATCCCTAGCAGCTTATTATTTTTCAAGGTTTCACTCATATTTTATTATCTTGAGTTTTGGAGCTCGATAAGAGGTAATTTTGGAGGAGAGTTTCACTACTACTTTGTGGTTAAGTGATTTTCACTTGGATTTGATTATAAGTCTTGATTTTCCATGAACTTACACACTTTAATCATGGAATTTTGAAGAGAAAATTAGAATTTTATCTACACTTCGAGAGAGTGTATTTTGGGGATTTAAGTACCGATTTGGACTTGATTTTAGAATATAATCACATAATTAAACTCATCATATTATGAGTCATCGGATTGTGGTATTGGTTTCGGATTTTGGGTACGCGGGCTCGAGCTGACTTTTGTTGACTTTTTGGAAGTTCTTCAAAGATCGAAGCTTTATAGATTGGGATCGTTTCCTGTGGCATTGATTGGCTTCCTTGGGTGATGTTTGACTAGATTTGAGACGGTTGAGGTGATTTCTCAAGGAAATTAATATTAGAGCTTTGAACTTACCCGGATAAGGTAAGTGTTTTGCCTAGCTTTGGTTGAGAAAATATTTCCTACTAATTGATAATTTTTGCTACATGTGGAGGTAATGTATATGAGGTGACAAGCGTATATACATGTGCCAAGGGTATTCATGCTCAAGGTAGATTCTAGATTACTCTATGCCTTGTTTGATTGTATATTTTACTTGATTCTATGTGTTATTCAATTGATTGACTACGTGAGTACAATAAACCATGCTAGAGTAATGTTGAGGTTATTCATGCCTTATTTTGAACATGATGAACTAATCATGAGATGGATGCTATACTTGCCTCAGACGTAATCACACATATGTTATGAGCATACATCCATACTTGTTCTTCTTGTGATGTGCCTTGATTTGACTGTGCGCTCTCTATGAAGTATGTGTGATCCTTTGTATGATTACGTGGGCTTATCCTTTCATGTTTAGAGATCATGTTTTAGCATTTATGGAATCATTGCTAAATTGATTTAGCCGTAATGATGTCTTATATCTTGAGCACGCAACCGCACATTATTATTTTTATGTCATTGTGCACCTTATTGATGAATGATGAGAATATTTGTCTTCGTGATAAGTTATTATTTTGAATTTGTTATGTTCATGGAACATATAGACATGATGTGCAAGTTGATTGTTGATGTGTAGGATATAAAGTTAGAATTCTTGATATTGATGTTACGTAGAGTATAAGGGTGATATTTCCCTATTGATGTTGTGAGGAGCATAATGGTAGCATTTCACTATTAATGTTATGTGGTATAAGGGTGACATTTCACTATTGATATTATGTGGAGTATAAGGGTGGCATTTCATGTGGAGTATAAGGGTGGTATTTCATTATTGATGTTGTGTGGAGTATAAGCGTGGTATTTCACTATTGATGTTGTGTGAAGTATAAGGATGGCATTTCACTGTTGATGTTGTGTGCAATATAAGGGTGGCTTTTCACTGTTGATGCTCATGTGACGGTATAAGGGTGGTATTCTTGATCATGCACATGTATTCTCTGTGCGTTGTCATGCATTTTACATGTTTTCATGTTGCATCTAACATGCTATCATGTGCCTCGGTTATTGTTTGGTGAATTGATTGTCAAGTTGGATCTTACCTATGTGAGCTAATATCTTATGTTTTGTTGAGTTGGAGAAAATGTGTCAGATCAATGTAAAAAGAGGGTTAACACCATACATTGAAACATTAGTCTCATAACCATGGTATCTATAAACTGATACGGAATTGGATCATGGTTATGTACAGACACCCTTTATTTGTGTAGGAGTCTTGAGCACACACTACTTGGTGTCTCTTTGTGAGTGGAATTGGTACAAGTTATATTTGTTGGACTCGTTTAATTAGCAAAGCTTGTTCACTACCTTTGCCCTAGTTGTGCACCTTTGTTAATACTATTTGTTGTTTTTTAACATGTCTCTTAGGATATTTCCCTGCATTGTATATGTTATTGACTTGCACAGGTTATGCAAGGTGAGTATTATTTACTTTAAAATATTGTCACTATTTAATCGAGGTTAGCCAAGATACTTATTGAGTACATGAGTTTGATTTGGAGCTGAGCTGCTGTGGATGACGAAGGTTAGCATTGAAGTTGTAGTTGTGTTGCAGATTCAAGCTACCATTTGTCCATGGTTGTTTAGTACTTTATTTTAGTTTATGTAAACTTCAAATAAATATTGTATTTATTTTTTTTGCCAGTTTGCAAATCTAAATCATAGTAGCTCATGACTTGTACTGTCAGAATTGGATAGTGATAGTTTCCTTCCACCATTCAAAACCAATTTCAACTAGTACCATAAATAGATTCACGCATCCCAATGACCTCCCCATCCTTGTGTGAGCCCGTCCGCTCCTTTCGATCAATTTAATCACTTCATTAGCCTGAATTAAATGTTAAAACTTACGTGACTTTCCGTTATTAATTTTAGCAAGACAATACAAATCCTACTTTTGAAATATCCAATGGTGCAGAGTAGTGGATCTTTTAACTACTTTGATTTCAGGCCACATAACATACAATTTAGAGGAATGCAATATAGATAATAGAGTTAGGTCTACAATCACATGAATTAACAGAGTATTGAAAAAACAAGTGTTTTCTACTTTATAGTAACATTAGAACATGGGGATATAAATGCAATCCTCGTCCTAAAAGGAGAACAAACAAACAACAGAATCAATCCTTTACACAAATTCAACCATTCTCACTCAACATAAACTAAAACCAAATATATGGTGAACAAACAACATAATTAACTTAGGAAATGGAAAATCTTCTCCTCCTAGGCTTAGTAATATCAACAGTGGCATCATCAATCATAGAAGTGTCCTTTGATCCATGCTTAAAGGGATTCAATTTCCCCAATTTTTTGGAGACAGAAGAAAAGAAGGTTGGCTTCCTGCTGAGACTGGGTTTAGCTGAAGTAGTCCCTTGACTTGTTTTCTGTATATCGGATATGTACATTTTCATCTTTAACAGTTCAGTTCTTAGAGCTTCGTTCTCCTTCACAAGTGAAACATCGGCTTGTAATTGGTTCCTTGTTGCCATGGCTTCGGGTAAATTGCTAGTATCATCTCCGCCACTCCTTATCTTCAGTTGATCGAAGTAGAGAGCATGAAGGACTATTTGCACTGGCAAACGTTTGTTTTGTGAAGCATGAACTCTGGCTTCATACGAAAGTTTCAGTGTATCCATCACGCTGCAAACTTTCTCTCTTTCAATTTCATCCAAATTTGGATGTGCCTGCAATTTTGATCCAATTACTCTTTCTGACTAGAATATTTTTGTTAAAATCTGCGAAAAGGATTTATTACCTTTAAGTAGATATCGACGGCTCTGTAAAGATCATCATCAACCTTCCTAGCTCCTTTAGGAACCAAAATAGCAATTCCATTGAATTTGGCTATAGTGAGGTCCCCAAAAGTGGCAATTTCACCAAGATAAGCATCTACAGTCTTTGCAACTCGTTGCATCGCCGTGGAACAAACTTGTTGTCCCAAATCACCCCCATTAAAAACCGCCACAGTCTTCTCTTTCTCCATAAATCCAGAAATAATTCTCCTCACGCTCTCAAGATCGAATAATCTTTCGCCATCATAAGTAAAAGACAACACGAGTAGATCGTCTACAGTGACATGTTCTAAAATTGTTGATATCCTTTTCTCCAATTCATTCTTGCAACTATTAGCTGCTCTTAAGAAAATTGCTGTACGGAGGAGACAACATAGGAAATTGATGGGAAAAGCTGCTTTGTCTGCAGGTAAGAGTTTGACAATTGACTCGAGAAGTTGCCGTTGATGCATCCTGATGTCGGAGTCCTCTGGCTCCGCGACTAATCTGGTGCCATTTCCGGAGTGGTCACGTACTAGGTCACGAAGAGACCTCTCTGTATACGTGATTATAGCACTTGCTGCTGTCAACGCTTTTGCTCCCCGAGTTTTCATCGAAATGATAATTCTCTCGAAAAATGCTATGTCTAATATCGTTAACTCTTCCGTCCACCAATTTGGTGGTGATCTGCTTGGAAAATTCGCCTCCACACATGCCTACACAAAACCCAATATTGCTCTGTTCATGTCAATGCTTTCAACAATCACCTCTTGAATTAAACTTTTAAATGAGATGAATTCAGTACCTTAGCACTGGCGATTTCAACACATCTTTGAACGATCTTGAGCTCCTCAGCAAGGGGAAGAAGATTTTCACAAGACTTTAATACGACAAGGGCTCCAGAAAGGCTAGTCAAGGCAACTTGGGCAAGGAAATCTTCTGTCCTGCTAGCAAGATTGTTATCGCAGTATTTATCAGTCATTTGTAAGTAATCAGCAGCACAACGAAGAGCAGCTACATTATGAACTGTGATTTCAAAGTTGACTCCATAGCAAAACTTGGCTGCTTTTTCAAACATCTCAGGACCTCCAGGTATCTCAGACAAGTTTATCCTCGTTACTTCTGTTTCTTTAGACTCTAGTATAAGTTTCCTTATGTAGTTGCTCTTCGCCACAAGCATGAACTGTCATGGAAAACATATCAGAATAACAAGAAATGACAACTGAAATCCGTTGTATGTTTCCAACTCAAACTGGGTACAACATGATAAAGTGCTCTAATATTCATTCTAAACTCTATATCCTGAATTCACATCTAATCTAACACTAGTTAAGTTAAGGCAAAAGATAACAAGGTCATAAGTAACGTACCTTGTGAAGATTAAAGTTTGCTTCACCTACTTCAACAACAACATCAGTTGGAATTTCTTGGGAAAACACCCTGTCATATATAAAGTTAATACAAACAGAGACAGGAAAAGAGAATAATAATGGTGTGTTTGGGGGAAAAAGAGATAGATAGTACCATTGGCCAGTTCTTTCCATGGCAAGAGAGAGTCGATTGGTATTCTTGATAGGAGCAGCCATGTGAGAGAGAAACTTCAATATTTAGTGCATAGAGGGAAAGCTTAGGATAATAAAACTAGGGGTCTAATTATAGGATATATAGAGAGAGCTTGGTTTATCTTGATGTGGCTTTTTCATCCACTTTATTTGTACTTGTAACTTGTTTCTACTCTGTTTTTTCGGGTGACAATTAATTAATTTATCTTAAACGCATCACATTTTCAAGCTCATGATTCCATTGTCCATTCTGCCCCCGATTCCTATTAACAACAAATATCCAACAGCCAATAAAGCAGCTTATCTTTTCAGCTTGGAATCTCTCAATTTTTACTGTCGCTTCTTGTTCTTTTTCACGTCTTACCTTGACTTGTTTTTTGGATCTTTCTTGGTTCTACGGAGTTCATTTTGATCCACTCCAACAAATTAAGAGAGGTCAATTATCATATTATCTAAAGCAAAATTAGAGTTCTCTTAATTTCATCATAGGTAAAACCGAAGTAGTATCATGATCGAATTTTATGTAAACTAAAATGACACACATTCACTTTGTTGTTATGATAGACATGCGAAAGGTGTCCCAATTTTCCCCTGTGAGTTAGTCTGAAGTTATTGTGGAATTAAGTAGCTCTAGTCATCGCTGTTGAACTTGTGCATTGAATAAGCCAATGCTATTTTTACTTTTGTTATTCCTTCTCAAACAGTTTCTATCTTCTGAAACTAGACGTGCTTTCTTTTCCTTTTTCAAATATTTTCATTTAACCATTGTCAAGCGGTCAAAAAAGCAAATTGATTACGTATACAAAAGACCTAAGGTGAAAATGACTATACGACCGACACAATTAGGTGAATGCCTTCCTAAAGTGATAATTAAAACCATCTTTGTTTGAAAATTCCTTTTTTCCACAAAGAATGATACTATATACTAGTATAATATTGTTGGAGTCAAATAATATAATTTTTATACTGAAGTTAAGGAAGAATTGAAAGTCTTCTCAAACTTGTAATTTGGATGATTATTAGACTTGGAAAGGTTTTTGAAACTTGTGTTCTTATACCATTACTAAAAAATAGTATAATTCTGTCCGCTATTTCCGACCGAAATCGGTCAGAAATTGGTAATTTTCGACCGAATTCCGATCGATTTTAATTGGTCGGAAAAACGATGGTCGTAAACATGTACCGACCGAAATTGGTCGGAAATTTCCGACTGAATTCGGTCGGAAATATCAAAGCGTTGACTGACTGTCAAACTTTAATTTACGACCGAAATCGGTCGGAAATAATTAAATATTTTTTTATAAAAAATTCAGATTTCGGTTGTCGAAAACTATTAATTTTTTTAAAAAAAAATTCATTATAATAATTTTATTTAATTAAATAATTAGTTGTAAATTGTAATAAATTCTTAAGTTATTTAATATATATATATATATATATATATATATATATTCATAATTACCGACCGAATTCTGTTGGAAATCTGGGAAAAAACTGGCAGAAAATGCCTATTTTTGAGCTACACCACCTGCCAATTACAACCAATATTCATCCTATAATGGCAGCATTACATTGATGCCATTCAACCATAATTAATCAACAACAATGAATATACTAACAACAACAACAACAATAACAACAACAACAACAACAATAACAACAACAATTAACTAACAAAAACTATTAACTAACACTTATAACCATTATCTAACAACAACAACAACAACTAATAACAACCATAACAACAACTACTAAAATGTTCAATAACAGAATAACAATATAATCATCATTCAAAATTAGTCTCAACTAAATATTGACAAGTTCAATACTTTATTTAGCAATACACACCATTCAATGAGTTTTTTTATCTAGCATCATCTCCATCTTCACTCCTAGAACCTTCATCGTTGGCACATGGGGAAGGCTCACGAGACCGGGAAATGGGGAAAGCACCACTAGCAAGAAGATTGGCCAGCTAGCCTTGAAGGAGATTAAATTGTTCGTCCCTCCTTTCTAGCTGAACTTGAAGGGTACCAAATTGTTCATCTCTCTTTTTTTTTCTCTAGCCTTTGTCTCTTCAAGCTCTGCTGTCATATTTGCGATCTTCTATTCCATAGACGATATAGTCAACCTATCAATTACCTCGCCTTGGGCGAAAGTCCCTATACTTTGCAATCCAGCCTTGTAGCGCCGAAATAATTTATCTGGAAGACCGTATGCTATCCCCTTTTTAGGACCATCGACAACATCCAACCATATCATCTGCGCTTCTTCGTCTGAAATGGGCGGTCGCTCGCCTTGCTCATTCGGTGGCAAGCTCTGAGTGTACTCCTCCACATTAATCTTGTAGTGACCCTTTATTTACAAGATATAAAATTACTAACTATATAATATTATAAACATTTATAGTAGTTATGAAACTTACATGTGTAGTCTACGCCCGGTCCTCAACCCATCTAGTTGGATATGTCGGTGCCTTCTTCTTTCGGATGTGAGTCTCCATGAAGAACTCATCATGACTCATCTTCATCCCATATCTTTTTTTCCTAAAAATATAATAAAACGTGTTAACGAAATTAACATATATAAATATAGTTCGATAAAAATAGACCGAAATATTTTAAGGAATTATCAGTTGTCTCCTCGTATCCCCCATGCTCCTTGAACCCAGACAGTGCAAGGAGTCACCCTTCTCAGATGCTCGGGCCTTCTTTCCCTGTTCACTCTGCTTCTCAAATTTCTCGGTGGCCCAATACCTCTGCAGATCCTCCCATAAATCCGGTAGAACCCATGAAGGCTTCTTGTTAACCTTTCGAGCGGAGCAGAAGGAATTAGAGAGTCTCTTACGATATTTGTACTCCCAATTTGCACAAATTTCACGGTTATACCGATCCTCCCATGCACACTTAGTCTGCAAATAAAGTATGTAATGTTAGATAAAAATATTTTTAATATAATGCTTAAATAGATAAGAATTGTATTTAAATCTTAAATTGGTTGAACATTTGTTGCACGAGATCCTCTGGAAAGTCACTCCAAGTCGGATAGGGTGCATTATACAACCCGCCAAGAATATCAGTGATTATCTTTGTAACCTGATGATTAGGAATGAACCTGCAACATAGCAATTGCATTAAATAAATAAGAGTAGCTATTCCCTTCCTTTAGTGGACGACTAACGGCCTCTAACTATTCATAAAAATATATTGCCTCTTCGTTAGGAGGTTGTTCAACACTTTCATGGGTTTCAAAATCGAAGTGCATCCCAAAAGCATCTGCAACCATTTCATGGTATCTAGGATGTTGAACGTTATTCCCCACCGACCTACTACTTTCACCAACAACTACATTATGAAATACACCATCACTACCATCAATCTCTCCATGACTAGTCCACACAAAATAATTATCCATAAATCCTTTTTTATAAAGATGAGCCTTAATATCCGCTAATCCAAAAAAAAATGCAAACACTTGCACTTCACACAAGGACACCTAATCAACCCTCCAATCCGAAACGGTTCAAGTGACATTGCATGCGTAATAAATTCCTTAACCCCTTCAATAAATTCCTTCCTCAAAAACCGACGATTAGGATAATTCCTATTATACATCCAACTATGATATTCCATCTACATAAAGAACGAATAAATTATATTAATCATAGTTCAAATTAATTTATAGAATTAAGTTACATAATAAACTTTAGTTACAATATAATTAATTTAAATAATTTGAGTGCTTATTAATTTAAAAGTTCATACATATTCCTAAATAAGTTTTTTTTTAAATTCAATTAGACCATTAAAGGGAAAAATAAATAAATGAAATAAAATTATCTAATCCTAGCATTAATTATAATTAAAATTAGTTAAATTAAAAGAATTAAACCCTAGCATAATCATAACCAATATAATTGAAAGCTATAAAATTATCTAACCCTACCATAATAATAATCTTCTAACATAGATAATGCTAGCATAAACATAATCAATAGGAGTAAATCCTAAATCTAATTAATCATTAACTAAACCCTAGTTTATACAATAGAAGAATTAAAATTACTTAAATTAAAAAATGTAGATAACTAACCTTGAAAGAGAAGAGAGGGGGTTTGATTTTGGGTGCTAAAAGCAGTGGGTGGTGGTGGCGGAGGAAGCAGTGGTGGCAGCTGGCGGCCGAACAATGACGGGGGAAGGGAGGGAGACGATGAGGGGCTTTGATTTTGGGTGAGGAGGGAGACAAGAGTTGATTTTGAGTGTAGTTTTGGGTGAAAATGCAACTGGAGAGGAGAAAATGAGAAGTGGAAGAGAGATAGAGAAAATGGGGAAATGGGGAAGAAGCCATTCCCTAGCAGATCTAAATTGGAAATTTCCGACCGAAATCGGTCGGAAAATTTGGTCGGAAATATTAAGTGACATTTGACCGTGCCATTTTCGACCGAAATCGGTCGGAAATGTTTAGTTAATATTTAATAATTAGTTAACTACT